TCCTGCCTCAGCCTCCTGAGTAGCTGGGATTACAGGCACGCACCACCATGCCCAGCTAATGTTTTGTATTTTTAGTAGAGACGGGGTTTCACCATGTTGACCAGGATGGTCTCCATCTCTTGACCTCGTGATCCACCTGCCTCGGCCTCCCAAAGTGCTGGGATTACAGACTTGAGCCACTGCGCCCGGCCCTCTTATGATCTTTATAATACAGTATTGTCTTGGTGTAGTCTGAAAACAATTGTGCTGGCTAAACATTCTATGAAACTATAGAACATGCTTTTAGGATGTGTCTTATCCAAAATTTTGTGTTTCGTGTTTAGCTAAATTGGCTTATTCATAGTTCTTCTGAATAATCAGTCATCACTTGCTACACCCCTTTCCTGTTTGGGGTACTGCATTTTCTCTGCTTCTGTATCATTTACCTTTAGACTCAGTGAACTCAAACTGTCATTCCAACTTATATCATGATTTCTTTCAGCATTTTATATCATGGGAGACATTAACCAGTGTCTACAAAGGCCCTGGAAGTGAGAAATAAATATGTATGTGCCAATATATATCTTTTTCTTTTAAAAAAGAAACCAGTAGTTGGCAATTTAAATTTTTATGTGTGTGAGAGTGACACAGTCTCACTCTGTTACCTAAACTGAAGTATAGTGAAATGATGTTGGCTCACTACAGTTTCTGCCTCCACAATTCAAGCAATTCTCCTGCCTCAGTCTCCCAAATAGCTAGCATTACAGGTACCTGTTACCACACCTGGCTAAGTTTTTGTAGTTTTATTAGACATGGGATTCCACCCCGATGGTCAGGCTGGTCTCAAACCCCTGACTTCAGGTAATCGGCATGTCTTGTTTATCCGACGTGCTGAGATTACAGGCATAAGACATCATTCCTTTCTGGCAATTTACTTTACTGGTTTTTGATTTCTTTTGTTTTTGGTTTTTGGGGTTTTTTTAATGCAAAGTCTCACTCTGTAACCCAGGCTGGAGTGCAGTGGCATGATCTGAGCTCACTGCAACCTCTGCCTCCCAGGCTCCAGCAATTCTCTGCCTCAGCCTCCTGAGTAGCTGGATTACAGGTGCCACAACCACGCCCAGCTAATTTTTTGTATTTTTAGTGCAGACGGGGTTTCACCGTCTTCGGCAGGTTGATCTTCAACTCCTCACCTCGTGATCCATCCCCATCACCCTCCCAAAGTGCTGGGATTACAGGCATGAGGCACCACACCCAGCTGGCAATTTACTTTTAAAGGCACAATGTTATACTGAAGAGGAGGAGGACCTGTGTTGGCTATAAGAAACAGACTTTTCTGTTTCTTCTGTGTGGCTCTTTGCACTGGGCTCACCTGGGGTCCTTCACACACTTAACACACTTATAAATATTTTACAAATGGATTTTCGTCAGTATGTTTTTGTTACATTTATACGTCCAGGAAGAAATTACAGCTTATAGTATTTTACTACGACATCTCACTTCTGTAGTTTGTATCATTTTATGTGTTAGATTTGTAAAGCATACTTATCTGAGTCTAGCAGTTGAAGTAATGTGTTTTTATTGTTTCTTTTAGTTATGTGTTCTCATTTTGCCCAAGACCTTTGGCCAGAGCAGGGGATTAAAGATTCTTTCCAAAAAATAATACTGCGAAGGTATAAAAATGTGAACATGACAATTTACAGTTAAATAATGGCTGTGAATGTGTGGATGAGTGTCATATGCAAAAAGCAGTTTATAATGGACTTAACCAAAGTTTGACAAGTACCCAGAGAACAATATTTCAATGTGATAAATATGTGAAAGTCTTTTATAAGTTTTCAAATTCCAACAGACACAAGATAAGACATATTGGAAAAAAATTTCTCACATATATAGAATGTGGCAAAGCTATTAACCAGTCTTTAACTGTTACTACACATAAGAAAATTCATACTGAAGAGAAACCCTACGAATGTGAAGAATGTTGCAAAGCCTTTAAGCACTCCTCAAAGCTTTCTAAACATAAGATAATTCATACTGCAGAGAAATCCTACGAATGGGAAGAATGTGAAAAAGCCTTTAAGAAGTCTTTTTACCTTACTATACCTGGGAGAATTCATACTGGAGAGAAACTCTATAGATGTGAGCAATGTGGCAAAGCTTTTAAGCAATCTGAAACACTTCGTGCACATAAGCGAATTCTTACTGAAGTGAAACCTTACAAATGTGAAGAATATGGCAAAGAGTTTATGTACTCCTCAACCCTTTCTATACATAAGAGTATTCATACTGGAGAGAAACCATACAAATGTGAAGAATGTGACATAGCTTTTACCCAATCTGTAAACCTTAGTACTCAGAAGAAAATTCATACTGGAGAGAAACCCTACAGATGTGAAGATTGTGGAAAAGCTTTCAAGCAGGCTGCACATGTTATTGTACGTATGAAAATTCATACTGAAGAGAAACCCTACAGATGTGAAGAATGTGGGAAAGCCTTTACGAATTCCTCTAACCTTACACAACATAGGAAAATTCATACTGGAGAGAAACCCTACACATGTGAAGAATGTAGCAAAGCCTTCAATTGGTGCTCACATTTTACTATGCATAAGACAGTTCATACTGGAGAGAAACCCTACCAATGTGAAGAATGTGGGAAAGCCTTTACAACTTCCTCTATCCTTACTAAACATGAGAAAATTCATACTGGAGAGAAACTGTATAGATGTGAAGAATGTGGAAAAGCCTTTACGCATTCCTCTAACCTTATTAGACATAAGAAAATTCACACAGGAGAGAAACCCTACAGATGTGAAGAATGTGGAAAAGCCTTTAAACATTCCTCTTACCTTATTAAACATAAGAAAATTCATACAGGAGAGAAACCCTACAGTTGTGAAGATTGTGGAAAAGCTTTTACCCGATCTGAAACCCTTACTGCACATAAGAAAATTCATACTGGAGAGAAATCCTACAGATGTGAAGAATGTGGAAAAGCCTTTACGCATTCCTCTAACCTTATTAAACATAAGAAAATTCATACTGGAGAGAAACCCTACAGATGTGAAGATTGTGGAAAAGCTTTTACCCGATCTCAAACCCTTACTACACATAAGAAAATTCATACTGGCGAGAAACCCTACAGATGTGAAGAATGTGGAAAAGTCTTTACGCATTCCTCTAATCTTATTAAACATAAGAAAATTCATACAGGAGAGAAACCCTACAGATGTGAAGATTGTGGAAAAGCTTTCAAGCAGGCCGCACATGTTATTACACATATGAAAATTCATACTGGAGAGAAACCCTACGGATGTGAAGAATGTGGGAAAGCCTTTACGACTTCCTCTAAACTTACTAAACATAAGAAAATTCATACTGGACAGAAACCCTACAGATGTGAAGATTGTGGAAAAGTTTTTACCCAATCTACAACCCTTCCAACACATAAAAAAATCCATACTGGAGAGAGATCCTACAGATGTGAAGGATACAGCAAAACTTTTACCCGGTCTGAAACACTTACTACACATAAGAAAATTCATACTGGAGAGAAACCCTACAGATGTGAAGAATGTGGAACAGCTTTTACAACTTCCTCTAACCTTACTAAACATAAGAAAATTCATACAGGAGAGAAATCCTACAGATGTGAAGATTGTGGAAAAGCTTTCACCTGATCTGAAACCCTTACTACACATCAGAAAATTCATACTGGAGGGAAACCATACAGATGTGAAGAATGTGGAAAAGCCTTTACAAATTCCTCTAATCTTACTAAACATAGGAAAATTCATACTGGAGAGAAGCCCTACAGATGTGAAGAATATGGCAAAAACTTTCCTTCATTTTCAAGCCTATGTAGACATAAGATAATTCATACTGGAGAGAAACCCTATGAATGTAATAAATGTAGGAGAGCCTTTAACCAGCTCTCAACTCTGACTAAATATGAGAATTTATATGAAACATAGACCCTAAAAATATAAGGAATGTGACCAAGTGTTTAAGGAAGATCTCAACCTTCATTACAAATCATTCATACTGGACAGAAGCCCTATAACTGAGGAATGTGGCAAACCCTATAACAAGTTGCCTTTTTTTTTTCTTTTTGAGAGAGTTTCACTCTCATCACCAAGGATGAAGTGCAATGGCAAAATTTTGGCTCACTGCAACCTCTGCCTTGTGAGTTCAAGCCATTCTCTTACCTCAGACTCTTGAGTACCTAGTATTACAGGTGCCCACAGCACATTTGTGTACTTTTAGTAGAGATGGGGTTTTGCCATGTTTGCCAGGCTGGTCTCCAACTTCTGACCTCAGGTGATCCACCCACCTTGGACTCCTGAAGTACTGGGATTACAGGTGTGAGCCACCACATCCGGCCACAGGTTCTCAATTCTTAACAGACATGGCATGTTGGGATGCACTCAGGATGGTAGCAGGGATATTAAGGGAAAATATTAGAAATTGTTATAATCAAAAACCTCCCTGGGAGGCTTAGAGGTTCGCATAGTTTGAGAAAGTTTAGGCCAGAGGCAGCCAAACCCTTTTTCTCTTTAGTTATAAGAAAAGCAAAATATCTAGAGAATGCAAGGGAGTTTATTTGAATAGTTTGTTTACTCAGTAACCTTTGATGCCTCCAGATGGCCATCTCAAGAGGAGCTCAACCAGGGAGTATACGCATTAATGGTATTTACTTTCGGTATTGGAACCTGAGCTTTTATCATTTGTAAAGCCTCTATTTTGACCATGTTAATTATCCCGAAGCACGTTCTCTTGGAACCTCTGTTATTAAAGCTATACTGAATAAATGTGAGAAGGAACAACTAGACTTTGTCATGTAGCTGTGATCAGTCTCTCTTATTGTGAGAAACCCACGATCCCCTTACCTGATGCTTACATTGTATTCTCTGTTTGAATGTATTTATTCATTTGTCACTGAGTAAGGATCTGCAGTACAGACACCTGCCTGGTGGTGACCCGCATGTGACCAATGTCACAATGGCAATAATTTATGCTGAAGAGAAACTCTACAAACCTGAAAGATGCAACAGTGCTTTTACCAACACCTCTAACTTTTCTGTGCACAAGAAAAGATTTATACATTTCTAGTGTGAAACCCTAGAAATGTCCAAAACATGACAAAGCCATTGTAGGGTTGCCACACGTGATTTTAGGTAAGATAATTCAGACTGGCAAAACTCCACCAAGTGTGAGGAATGCGGCAAAACGTAATCAGTGCTTACACGTTATTTCACAGGAAAGCTGTTATGCCTGAGAAAAAGCATACAAATACGAATATGGGAAACCCATTAATGCATACTCACCTGTTATGCAACATGAAAACATTCATAGTTAATAAAAGCATTAAAAGTGCAATTACTGTCAAAAATCTTTCATAAAATATGTCTTTAAAGTTAAGAAGAGTATTGTCAAAAACGATTACAAATATAAAGGGTGTTGTAGTACCTTTAGTTGTATTACAGATCTTATTGCACACATTTTGTACTAAAGGATAATGTAATAGCAGATCAAATATCAAAATCAACACCAAGACAAAAGTATGCCAGATTGCAGGGTCTTTATTGCCGGCAGCCACGGAGGACTCACGTCTTTCCAACCTGAGGCCCCGAGCTCAGGGAAAGCAGGGTTTTTAAGCTGAAAAACGACATCCTGGTTTTAGGACCAAGAGGGTGAGGGGATGCAGGGCAAGCAACTTTACGGAAGCTTATTCTGGCAGTTACTGATAAGCAAAGGCAAGCAGTTCTACATAGTGGGCATTTTTCAGAGCAAGCTAGCTGTTTTTATTTACAGAAGCCAAGGTCAGCAGTTATTGCGAGGAGAATGGGGCAGCCGTTACAACTTATTTTTGGAAAAACAGCTTTATCTTGTACAAAATGGCGTTGCTCAGGTTCTAACTCTAGGCCAGGTGTAGCACATAACAACACCTGATCTGTTTTTGACAGAAAAGGTAGGACTGGGATGGCCAGCCCAACCAGCAAATGAGGGATTTGACCTTCTCAGATACGGAGTTCACACTGAGAACCTTAAAGAAGTTCTATCTCAGTCACCTCGGACAATAGGGACAATGGGACATTCAAATGCAGACATTAGGGACAGACAGGATAAAAGACTTAGGTATGTATAACCCCTTATGGCAATCTAAGGACAGACAAAAGAGAGGGGCCCCGTATTGGGGTCATTCAGATGCCCAACTGGCCGCACTCCTTACGGAGACTTAGGCGCCTCTTGGCATCAGCATGTCGGTGTAAACCCCCGACTCAGATCAGGGTTGGCTCACGGAACCGCAGGTGAGGGCCCACTTGGACTCCATAATTTTCACTGTGGAGCCGCAGACTGGAGATTCAGGCGCAAACCCCTGAGTTCCACACTCACTCACTCACACAGAGTTTATTGCACTTTTTTATACACATCCTAAGATAGAGATCTCTCTAAAATGAACAAGACGGGTGGGGGGAGAGAGAGGGACCAAATTTAACAGAGATGATCACTAACAGAAACTGGGACTCCGCTCTCCAGCGTCCTGGAGCGCTGACAGTCGTGAGTGAGGACCCTTGTCAGGACCTTCCTGGGACCAGAGACAGAGGACTCAGGAAGAGAATTTGGTGGGCACACTGGCAGGCGATCCGTTCCCCTTCAGACGGCGGTGGCTACGGGCCCTGGAACGTCTTAGGGGGCGCCTCCCCTATAGGCCGCTGTTAGTCTGGGGGAGCCTGGAATGAGACCGAGTCAGTCCCAGGGGTGAATATCTCACTGCAGCCTCTAAATGTTGTACCCAAGCGAGTCAAGGAATGCGCCACACTCTGAGATTGAGTTGAGTCCTTTATTGCGAACAACCGAGAAACGGCTAACGCCCAAAATTCTCTCGGCCCCAGAGAAAGAGTTAGGTGGTTTTTTATACCCTAGTTTGAAAAGGGAGGGGGATCTTAGCTGAAGCAATTTTTCACAGAAGCAGAGCAAATAAAGTTAAAAGATAAACTAGTGCATAAGAAGTAACAGTACCACGTGCAGGGGCTTAAGCCGTTACAGAAGACATACAACTCATAGATATGGGAGCTCTGGGCATTTAACATCTGCATTCCCAGGGGCTGCTGGTACCGCTTGACTCGGTATCTTATTGGTAAATGCATTCCTGGGTCTGCTTGGCAGCAGCTTAATGTGGCTACGTGCTCAGGGGAAAGGGGGAGAGAAAGGAAGGCAAGTGAGGAAACTAACATGGAGTCTGTCCAGCTCAAGAAGCTAACATGACGTCTGAACAGCTCTCAGCTAAGAGTCAGGCTAACACAGGGTAGGTTATCATACAGCAAAGAATATGATACTTTAGTACACAGATGAGCTGTCTCGTTTGTATCAGAAGTTTTTGTGCTGGGACAAGAGCGCTGAGTGTAAGGGACTCTGTGCTGTGCCTGCTTTCTCTAATTAATCCTAATAAGGGGCCGGGGGCGGGATGGTGGTGGTGGTGGTGGAAGCAACATCAGCCTGGACAGGACTTGTTTAAAACACCAATTTGGATCCTTTTCAGTCCTTCAGAATTACGTTACATAGAATAGGGTCAACATTGCCAAGTGATTTATAAGCTCATTAAAGCTTGAGAGGCAATGCTTTGCTAAGTGGTTATCAGCTGAGGTTTCGAATTAGGATTCCCTGTCCAATTTGCAAAAATCTGTTTACTTGTGCCCTTTCTACTGGTTCTGCATAGAAGTATTCATGTTGTTTTACTGAAGTGCCTCATGGGGACTCTTAAGGTGAGGCCAGAATCAAGTATGAAAGCTTCAAGACACATTCATGAGAGTTAAGTTCCAGCTTTGCGCTGAAGGGTGGTCACAGGGCCTGTTGTGTTTGGGATTGGTAGGGACAGGGCAGTGTGGTCCATATTACCATTACTGTAGCAGAACCTGCTAGTGTCTGTGGCAGGGTGGGGCACCTGAGGACAGGAAAGAAGAAACGTATCTCCCTGGAGCAGTGCCTTGTTCCTGAATCTCTTGTGTTACAAAGAAGAGAAATAGGTGGACTTTTTCTGCAAGTCTTAGTTCTTGCCTGTGGGTGTGGTGGTAGCAGGTGGAGGGGTGGTGCTGACATTTTAAAAGGCATATTCTCAAGATACGGGTGTAAATTTGTTTGGAGAATCTCATCTGAGCAGGAATTTCAGAGAAAGGGGAGTAAGAATAAATGGTGACTTTTTTCAGCGAATCATGTCCCAGATCGAGAGCTGTGTCCACTCTTCCTTCTGGAATTCCATGCATTTAGCACTTGCAAGCCTCTGCTTCTCCTTGTGTTTTTCCTCCCTAATGAGTGTGTTTTAACTACTTTTTAAAATTCTTATAATAGTCAAGGGTCTCTGAAAAATACTTCCTTCCTATGTACCAGATCTTTCTCTACTTTCCCTATCCCATAGCTTTTTATATGCCATGCAGAATTCTCACCAATAATTTATAATCTGCAATATTAAAAATGTTCCCTGTGACCATGGAACATGAGATGTGGATATCAAGGTTTCTACTGGGGAAAGCTGGGGTCCTCAGTAAAGACGGTGAACATGTAATGTTGAGGTTCCATCTGTGTTGCATTGGCTTTATGCAGAACAGGATTTTTAAAATGCTTATTTAAACAGGATGGCATTTGTTACCCAGAAAATTCTAAAAATATATATTAGGAGAAACCTCTCTAGAGTGCTAAAAAAAGATTACTTAAAATCACTATTAAAAATTACAGAACACTTGGCCGGGTGCAGTGGCACATGCCTGTAATTCCAGCACTTTGAGAGGTCGAGGCGGGTGGATCACTTGAAGTCAGGAGTTTGAGATCAGTCTGACCAACCTGGTGAAACCCTGTCTCTATTGAAAATACAAAAATTAGCTGGGTGTGGTGGTGGGTGCCTGTAATCCCAGTTACTCAGGAGCTGAGGCAGGAGAATCAACTTGAACCTGGGAGGCAGAGGTTGCAGTGAGCTGAGATTATGCCATTGCACTCCAGCCTGGGCGACAGAACAAAACTCCATCTCAAAAAAGAAAAAAAAATTACAGAACACATGAGATATCTGTATCTTATAGTTTGAATAAAATTGATGTTTCTTTATGGCTAAAATTCAGACTATAATTTACTTTTGGGGGGCAATGTCACGTCAGTGGAGCTGTGTCTTTCTGTGTGCACCAGCGCATTATAAAAATTTGTCTTAGTGCAGTTGATGTTAATGATTAACTTGCTTAAAGAGCTCTCTGACAGACTCTTTTGCTCTAAAGTTGATTATTTTTTCTTTAGTAACAACTATCTTTATGCAGTCGATGTGTATAAACCATCACATTTAATCTGGCCCTGCCTTCCTTCCTTAGGTTTTCTTTGCATGTATCTGTCTTTGGAAAATGAAAGCTCTCATCTTTGCTTACATGACAAAAATAAAAAATAAAAAACTGGGAAAAACTACAGGTTCTTACACTACTGGATGTTTGACAAAATATTCTTTTGGGGCCAAAAACATTGGCATTACTGGTGAAAAATAATCTGCATTTACAAAATCTTCAGTTCATTGAACACATTAAAATTTGAGAGGTAAATTCTAACACAGCGTCTTTTTGATCTGAAAAATATACACAACTCATTCTGTAACATGTAAACATAGTATCAAAAATGTGTATCTTTGTGTTCATGCCCTTAATTTTATACTTTATCATTAAGAAAAATGTCATATGTGCACTGATGTTGTGGATCTTATGCCACTATTTTCTCAACGTTAGAGAATATATTAGAGAATATTTCTGTTTGAAAATTAGTTTATTGAATAATTTCAGTCACTTGTATAAGTCAGAACCAATTCTCTTTACTGTCTCATTTCACCTTGAATTAAATAAAAAATTCTGCCCGTGGCTACTTGGGATATATGTTTATCTCTCTCTCTCTTTCTCTCTTTTCTCTGTCTCTGTGTGTGTGTGTGTGTGTTTTTCAGGGACCCTTGACATTTACAGATGTGGCCATAGAATTCTCTCTGGAGGAGTGGCAATGCCTGGACACTGCACAGCGGAATTTATATAGAAATGTGATGTTAGAGAACTACAGAAACCTGGTCTTCCTTGGTGAGAATAACTTTAATATGCAATTCTTAATATACCCTAATATTCATTTCTCCTCTCATAGAATGTTTATTGGTAATTTTTGCTTTGCATAAATGAATTTCAGATTCCTGTTTTTAAGAACATTTGGGGGATTTGTTCATGTAGCAAAGAATTTCTTCAAGATGTTTTATCTTCACCTGAACTTTGCATATTCTTGAGCTGATCTGTATAAAGTACTCTTGATTAGTGATAATTTCAGGAATTGAGTGGCCTAAAATATTGTTGCCCACACCTTAAAATCTGATTACCACAATCAATTTTTTATTAGGTAGTACTGGGCAATGAAATTAAGAACTTACAAATTTAAAATATTGTCTAAATATTTAGAAATTTCTTTTATAAATTACTATTTGGGGATTAATTTACTAGAATATTCTATTACATTCTCTTTACAGAGCACATTACTAAATTGGTAATTACAGAATATAAGCAAGATTTATTCATATTCCTTATTTTTAATAAAACAGGTATTGCTGTCTCTAAGCCAGACCTGATCACCTGTCTAGAGAAAGAAAAAGAGCCCTGGAATATGAAGCGACATGGGATGGTGGATAAACCCCCGGGTAGGTGAGAGTGAACACAACAGATAACACAGATGAGAGATCCCAAGGCCAAAAAGAAAGCCAGTCCTTACAATGTGATTTGGGATGCTATGTTTCAAAGAAAATAGTTTCAGAAAAGCTGTGTTCTAAAAAATTTTTGGCCTGGCACAGTGGCTCACACCTATAATGCCAGTACATTGGGAGCCTGAGATGGGTGAATTACCTGAGGTCAGAAGTTTGAGACCAGCCTGGCCAACATGGTAAAACCCCATCTCTACTAAAAATACAAACATTAGCTGGGCATGGTGTCACATGCCTGCAATCCCAGCTTCTTAGGAGGCCGAGGCAGGAGATTCGCTTGAACCCAGGAGGCGTAGGTTGCAGTGAGCCGAAATCACACCATTGCACTGCAGCCTGGGCAACAAGAGTGAAACTCTGTCTCAAAAAACAAACAAACAAAAAACACCTGTCTTAGTGTCTGCCCTCAGAGCAAAGTCCTGAAGAATGTTCATTCTGTCAACAAATAAAATGGGAATTACAACTACCCAAGCACCTGTAACAAGCGAACTAAAGGTGGACCCTAGTGCAGACCCAACAGCCTTGTGACCAGGCTCCAACCCCTCTCCACTACAAAGTCAGAGGGCATACCATCACTGGGGGCCCAAGAAAAGAAGATCCTTACCTCTCGAATCCAGATTGTAAAAACTTGAAGAGGTGTTTGCTTCTTCAAATTCACAGACACCAATGCAAAACTGTGTTGTGCTTGTTGTTAATGCCTCTAATTTAATATAGCACTGGAAGTGTGTGGCATAAAAATTAATCGAAACAATGGAAAATACACTGGCCACAGTGGCTCACGCCTGTAATCCTAGCTGCTTGGGAGACCAAGGCAGGGAGGATTACTTGAACCCAGGAGGCAGAGGTTGCAGTGAGTCAAGATC